AATTGACATCTTGACGCTGAATTGGCAACACTGACTAAGCAAATATTATTGGTAATATTTTAGTCATTAGAATATTAAAATTTAAACACAATATTTGATAATATTTCCACAATATATAATGGATATCAGTACGGTGATACAATAAATATTACATACAATGTAATAAATATATTTAAAATAATAAGATATACAGAAAAAAAAGGTAGTCAATACACAAATTTTAATTTTGTGTTATCACGGAGAATTTACGTTTTTACGTTTTTAACCTGCTTATATTGAAGATTAAAATTAGAAAAGATATCCTTAAATACGTTACTACTTATAGTTAGTACCTGATGTTTATTCACTACTATTAAATAAACATGAAAGTGTTAATAAAAATGAAAATACATTTATTTTAATTATTAAATTTGTATTTTAATATAGATACGAGTATGTTCTATTAACGATACAAAATCATTTGAAAAATTTTACGCTCGTCAAATTTTTTCCTGTGTTTAAAATAAAACTAATTCACTTCCCTCGAATTAATGTCAACTTTTATTTTCTCAGTTGCCTTTCAAGCGTATATATAATATTAATAAGGTGCATCGATGAGCTAATTAGTTTAGTTACATTTTTACATGTTTTGGTATATTTTGCTAATTCCAAATATGTTTATAACTCATTATCGCCCAAAAATGTCGCGTAAACCATTAAGCCTTACACTAATATATATGAGTAATTAGATGGCTTATAATAAGGCGATGTTAACCGCTGTTTTACCACAACTCAATAAGTTCATACCTTCGTCAGTCATTACTCGAACACCTTTGATTCTAACCATATCCCAATTTGTCTCTTAAACAGTTTCTACTAAATACCACTTTTTAAGTTAAAGTCCTCCAATCAATTTATCAGATTTAAAAGCGCTTACATTTTTAAATCCTAATATTATAAAGTACAACTTAAAATATTTTTTTTTATGGGATAGGGGGCAGACGAACAGATGGATCACCTGATGGTAAGTGATTACCGTCGCCCATGGACACCTGCAACACCAGAGGGGCTACAAGTGCGCTGCCGGCCTTTGAGAGACAGGGAGGGAAGAGCGGGTTGGGCCTCCGGTACCCTCACTCACACGACGAAACACAACGCAAGCGTTGCTTCACGTCGGTTTTCTGTGAGGCCGTGGTATCACTCCGGTCGATCCGGCCCATTCATGCCGAAGCGTGGCTCTCCCACGGTTTATTATCATAACATCTCGAAAAAATCAATGAAGACATACTCTCACAATATAAAACACAAAAACGATTTTAATAACAATACAATAAGAATAAACTCCACTTTATCTTTTCATTAATCTCCAGTCGCGTTGTTTGTCATCGGATGAAATGTATTAAATCCCAGTCATTATTTTCAATGAAGTTTAATTATCCATCCAGTAACAGCAACCAAGGAACGGTATTATCCATTCTCATAAATCAAGTTTTCAGAATATTAAAATATCTCCCTTCATATAGGAGATTTATAATCATTTGACAACTTCAATCCGAGGAAAATCCTTATCTTGAGATCGAGATTAATACTCGGCAATAATCCTTTAAGACCCCGGGATTGAAAATACAGTGTCTAAATCAAGGCTCTGCTAGCAGAAGGTATAAATTCTTGTGACATTTTAATACATATTTTTTTCAGTCCACTAGGATAAAAGGAAATCATTTTAAGCAATATTATTTGAACAGATGATTAAAAGACTTTTATGATTAAAATGGTTTACCACTAAAAAAGCCTAATTTACGTTAAAAAATAATAAAAGCAGGGATCAATATAAAATGAAATTGAGATTAAATTATCTTGAGTTTTAAATAAAAGAAATAAGATAACTTGTGAAATAAAGAAACCTGCAACAAACAAAAGGATAGCAAGTATTAAAAAATGCGATGAAATGTAATTTCCATTGTATCGGTTGTCTTTATCTTTGTGTTTCGAAATATTCACGATTACGTTATTCGTTTTTATGTGGAGGTCCTCAAGTTTTTAATTCAATTTTATTCGTGGAGTAATTTAAGTCTATCGTAGACTTCGTCCTATATTTAATAATATATTTTTCATTTAAAACTTATAACGCTTCTTCCATGTAGGTGAACAATATTGAAAAGCTGGTAAAATTATAATAATATTATAGTTTTTCCCTTTCATGTTGAAATTACATGATTACAGCTTTTATTCTTTGTTTTTAATATTGTACTTAACATTGATAAAGTTAACATTGATTTACTAACTCATGGTTTATATAGTAGAGCTAATGAGTTTCTTTTGAAATTCTGCTAAAGTTAGCGTTATTACGATATATGTATATGTGATATTGCAATAATAACATTGGACTTCTGGTAGACAGTACAATAGCATAATTCAAGTAGTCGTGACTCTATTGAGATGCATTTATTCCATAAAAATTACAGAATAGAGGCCCTGAACGTAAGTAAAAAATCTTATATGAATTAAAAATAATCTTGATAAGTTTATTTAAATAAAGATATTTTAATATTTAGTAAGTAAATCGATTTAATGATATCGCTACCGATGAACTGCAGGATTTGATTTCCGCTTGATATCGATTGAGAACTCGATGATGCAGTTGTTAGCGCGCTCAGTCTGCGGTTGTTAAGCAAACTTTCTCGAGGGCTGATCATAAGATGGGTGACCAAAATGTACTATATCAAGCTCCTTCCTGCTTCGGAAGACCACAAAACATCCCGCGTCCCACGTGGTGGTTCTTGCATGGCTCTTACTATTCGATTTGATCCGATTTCATTTATAGGGAATGCTTTAGCTCCAGCAATGGGTATATAAACAGGCTGGTGATGGCTTTTCATTCTGGCACTTACCTGAGGATAATCCTTGTCTTGTGAGAGGTGATGAAAATGAGTGAAATACGTGATACCACCACGCAAGGCGTGAAGATACCCAAGTCTTATTAAAGGGGCTGCAGTACGTCCATCACTGAGTACCTGTTAATAGACACATTTACTTGTAATTATTATTATACTTACTATATTTTTAACATCACCTTAATTAATGCCTTCTACTATATAATACTTTCCGCCAGCAGCTCACCATGGCCTTTATTATACACATAAATGTTCCTCTTGAATTACTCTGTATATTAATTTCTTATATCTTCACGCGCACTATCCATAAATGAAACAAGTTTCAAACGGTTTGTATTGAGTTTTAATGACATTTCGGACCCTTTACAGGTTCTGTGTTCGCATAAGACTTATGTTACGTGATGAAACCGTTTAAAAATTGTTTCATTTACTCTCTATATTGATGAAAACCACAACATAATATGTATATATACTATGTAAAACCACAATATAATTCTCAGCATACAGACAGCGAGTTGTTGTATACTATTTATAGATACTGTAAACTAGAAATTGCTATTCGAACGCTATTCTGTTGCCATGGAAAATTGCAAAAAAAAAGAAAGATTTATAGATTTCCACGTTTTATCAACAAAAAAATGACTGGTTCCGGAGAACATAATAAATGATTTCCTTTCCAATATAAAAATGTCGTTATACTGAATGTGCAGTTTCCTGCCTACTGCAGTTTTATCTCCGCCTCATTTATCAACGGCGTTTCTGTTTCGCGAGATAAGAGATATCGCTGTTTTCAAATATTTAAGAAAATAATATTTTTAAGTGCAAGGTACTCGCACAGTTGACATACACCCTGTTTCTGAATTGAGAATTTAAAGCTTAGCACGTCTCAAACCATACTTAAATTATTTTTCACGTCATTTAAGCAGGTATTGGCTTCCGTTTTTATTTTTTAAATGATCAGTTGATAGCAGTTTGATAAAACTAGGAACTTTTGCCGTTCGTTTACGTTTTACATTATTACACTAAGTACGTTTTACACGTAACTTATTGAGAATAATCAGTTGAGATTTTGAACTTTTCTCAATTCAGAAACTGGCCAATAGTATTTTTAAATTCAATATCTTTCATGATAATTTTCAATACCTTAAAATTTAAATACTACTCCCACGTCGGCCTATTATTAATTGACCTTTAACTTGGTTGCACACTGCACACATTTGTTTTCCTGTTTCCTGAACAGGCATTTCGATTCGGAGAACCGAAAATGCATCTTTGATATGAACGGCAAAAAAAAGGTTTATCAGTGTACTGTGCGGTGTGCCAGGATTTAAAGTAAAGAACTGAACTACATATTTATGACAGATAATTTACTTCTGATACCAAATTGTCATTTTTATATTATTTAAATTGAAAATCGATAACGTTTATTATAATACTATTTAATTCCATCTTATATAATGGATGTTTCTTTTTTGTTTTGTTATACCTGTAACCAAATTTATGTACCTAGCTCTATAGAATACTTTTTATATTTTATTGTTAATGACAACTGGCCTTTTAACATTGATTAAATTATTCTGTATGAGTCGATTAGCAACGCAAGATAAGGATTTCACATCCGAATCATCCAAGTTGACGATATAATCCAATATTCCAATGAAGAACACATTCTAAGCAACTCCAATACGTATTGTATATATTTTATTATTAAACTTAAATCTGAGTAGACTACGATTTATACTATTTAATTTGATATTTCCACCTGGTAGCTTTGTATTTAACTGTATCGTATTATTTTCGTGATGGTTGTATTTTTAAGTATTTTTCTTCAAATTTTAATTATACTACAAACGCGTATGAAATATTTTAATTACAGTAATACTCTGCATATCTAAAGCTGTCGTAAATCCCAATTAATTGATAATTTAAAACTCCAACCGAAATTGCTTTGTGTTTATGATGGTAACGCCTCTTAAAGTAATAAATAAGCAATACGTTCGATTTCCAATTCGAAAAGATAAACAGGGTGTTATTTTACCAACTAAAGGTTATGATCATATCATCAAGATGGAGCGAACAAATAAAATAGCTCATCGTCTCAAGCGCGGCGTAAACATTGATATCGTCCTAATTTCTAAGTGCGGAGATGCAAGTATTTTCCAATATAAAGCCTTTCGACGCGCTCATCGCGTATTCAGCGTGCGCGAGCGTCATTAACTTCCTTTGTAGGTCGCAAGAGCGTACGGTGATTTGCGAAAACCACTCAACGCTTAAATTGAGATCGGCCATGATAGAGCGCGCCAGTATCAAGTGCTGTCTAGTCAGCTGACAGTTATCTATTTTCTTTATAATTTCGTTGATCGTGATTCCCAAAAAATAAAATATACAAACGAGCTACAAAATGATTATTAAAAAAATATGATATTGGAACAAGAAAGTCCCGGACGTATATTTCATTTTCAATATGATTCTTATCGGTTTTTTAAATTCTCGGTGTCAGTCAGTGTCTTTTCTGATCGTTCGAATCTTCGTCACTTATTTTGTTGGTATTTACTGGCTAGGAGTTTACTTTATGGTTACGTTTAAATGTGTGTAAAGAGGCTTTTAGCAGGCCGACAAGATAGTGGTGATTGCTGGGAGTAGCTTTGACTTCTAACAGCTTTTAACATTATTGGATTGTAAGAGCACTTTACTTTAGGTGCATTGCAATCACTTGGTCGTACCACATTAAAAAAAATGAACTTATGTGATCTGTAATTTATAACATAATTGTAGCTTAATTTACAGTCCTAACTCTTTTTAATTATCAGAAGAACTGGCTGATGTATATATATATATTTCTTCAATAAAGCAAAATGCAAAACGGTGGATTATGAAAATGTTGAATACGGATTGACTGATATATTCATCGTTAAGTCAAAATATTACTATAACACAAATAATTTATCGCTCTCAAAATACTATTTAATTCGACAAATGTTTAAAGCATCATTATAAGTCTTTAGTTTCCGAACAGAATAAGTTTCGGCCAATTCAGAATTTCTAAGGATTTTGGCGATGTTGATTCATTTAAAACAAATACCGCAGTTAACATGACTAGACAGAGCTATGATATAATCTTAAAAAAAAATTCAATTTTAAGGATAGAATTTTGCCATGTGAGGAAGAAAAATGTATATAAGTAAAGCTCTATCAAAAATCCATTTTGTCAAAACTAACAAATATTCTTATAATACCAACCCATGTAGTCCTAAAACCATTAAAGCTAATGTAATTATACGTACTTCCAAAGTGGCATCGCGTACACTCAGCGGATTTTGTACGGGTTTGTCCCAGTCTGTGTATTCATTCTTCAGGGTGGAATAGATCTCGTTCAGATGGTAATAGTAAGCGTTCCGCACGAACGTTCTCAATATGCGATCCCGCCTGCTCTCATTGAAGCCGAACTCCAAGTCTTGCGCGTTGAATTCTAGGTAAGATTCTGCAAGAAATTGTTCGGTCGTTTGCATACTTTACAACCATCTATCTGCGCGATATCACAAAATTTTGTAAGGCAGGTCCCCCTTTGAATATTTTATGAAAGAAAGGTATTTTCTTAAATACGATGAAAATAAAAAGAGACTGTGACACTATTACAATCGTAATGCTTTTTTAATATTTATCTTAAAGAAAAATTAAAAAATTAAGCTACTACTATATAGATAATACTAGACTTTATAATATAATACTAGATATTTTTGAAATTGTCATGACAAAAGTATAAGGCAAACAAACTAAGTGTAATGAAAACTAAACCTAAGATAAAATGCAAATTTACCGTACACATATAGCGAAAACTAATAATTTACCGCAAGCAAACAACCCGCGTATCTGAACCCCGGTGAAAGTTGATGGAAGTTAGCGTGTAAAAACTTCAAAAATAAATAATAAAAAAAAGTAATTTACCTTTCTGTAATTAACCGTAAATAAGAAAAAATTACCGCGAGTGTACATAAGCTGGACAATCGGTTTGTATAGTTCAGTGGAAGTTAGCAGTTCAGTTAATTTGGACTTTGATTAGGTGATAAGTATAAAAACTAAGATTCACATAGAGATGTACAGTTTATTTAAACACGATTTGTTTTTCCTTACCGTTTGTTTTTATCTTCGGAAATACTAATCAGATCATGAAACTTCAAATGCTACTTTGAAGAAATTATAGCTAATAGCAATCGCGCATAATGCAGTTCCATGATCTTATTTTTATATTCCAAATAAACAATAAATAAAAACAAATAAACAAATTTAGAAACTTAACCTCTCTATAATAATAAATATATAACAACATCACATACATTGCTCATATTCCAAGATGAGTAACTAAAGCCCCAGTATTATGGAGTATCTGAGACAACGACCCGACACCCAGACCCAAGACAATATATAAAAGTTCATTTTCTACATTGATCCGACCGGAAATGGAACCCGGGGCCTCAGAGATGGCTTTGAAACCGGAGTGCGAACCACTCGGCTATGAAGGTCATTTAATCTTAGTTTACTTACTAAAATATAAGTCTACATAAAATACGCTAAAAATACGTACTATACCGTGCCATATTGTATATATTTGTAAATGTAGAATAAATATTACCTATTATCTAAATTTAATCCCCTAAAATCTTCGAACTTGACTTTTGAATATCAGAATAGTCACCTGTTGTGGTTAGACCGAATAACAATTCCCTATGGGGAAAATCTGCCAATTCGTGGCCTGCTGCGGTGGCGACTGCTGCGGCCCCCGCTCCAAGCCGCGAACTATCCGTGGGGGGCGGCGCCTGTACACAATACCACACAATAAAAATAAAACCAAGTAGTTCCTAGCAAGAAGGTCAGACAAATCACGAGAGTTTTGTGTAAGTTCTAGTATTAATAGAAAATGTTAGAGATAAAAACTCCTCACAAAAATGTGCAACTTTTGTATCGGTTGATACTTCCATGTTTACAAGATGTAAAGGTAAACAACACTCAATACCCAGTGCAGAAATAAGAGGCTATGACACTTGGTCTGAATCATCGAATCTATTATAATATATACTTATAAAACAATATATTTTGGGTTAAAAAATGTTTATTTTCAAATATGTTGCAAATACATTAATAATCACAAGATTACACATATTTTAAATATAAATATTGCTAATAGTCTCCGTTGCTGAACTGGTGTGCGTGGTGAACCTCTGTGAGCTATATGAATCTGTTGTTATTTTAAGACATTCAAAAGATGAAAACGTCTGTCCTAGGCACACTGTTTTAAAACTAAAATCCTATGAAAAAATATAATGAAAACAACCATATATTTTAGTAAAGATTCATTACGTCAGTTTAGGTCGACGACGGTCGACATGCGAGAGGGGGAGGGGAAGACAGATATTAAAGTACCCACTGCGCCGCCGCTCCGTCGTAATAATTACTATTGTAATCCCGCTACTCAATTCATTATTAAATGATTAATCCTGAAGTGTATCGAGCAATATAGATTTTAGTGTACCTCGTAATAACAATAGATATACATACACTAAGGTGTCTGTCGTGAGTATTATTAATCAGATTAGAAATGTTTGTTCTATTTCACCTGTTAATTTAATATCGCGGGGTCGCTGTAAATTATAACATCGTTCGATTTGATATCGAAAATAACACACTTCAAATAAGGGTTCATTTTTGGTCGTTAGAAAAGATAAGATTTACTTTTATTTTTTGCTTAATATATGCTGCAGATTCTGGTTAACAATTCGAGTTCGTTGAAATGCACATATTGTTTCCCCGCTTTGCAGTATACTGTTCAATCCTTTCTTTCCGGCTTATCTTAAGGAACGTTTAAAGTTCCGGCGCAGTACGGACTATCGTGTTTTGAGATCATAGGATAACCTAAAACTGCAGATGCCTATGTACTCCACAAAATTCCTTGATAAATTTAAGTCATTATAGTTCAGGCTGTTCGCTTGTGGAATACTTTACCTGAAGAAATAATGCGCGCTCCTTCGTTAAAGTGTTTTAAAAATATGATAAAGGATCTAATATGATAATGTTATCTGTCACTTTAGGAATAAATGCTATCGTATCATCCTATTTTATTACGAGTATATTTGTTTTAGTACTGTTTATATTTCGACCTTATATTTTGAGTACTTTATATTTTTACGCATACCCTTTTAAACGTTATTTATAAATAAATATTGACCAGGAAACATTTTTGTGCGACTTTAAACTTAATAAACGACTTTAAATCATATTAATCACTTATGATTTAAAGTCGTCCATATTAATCACTTATGATTTAAAGTCGTCCATATTAATCACTTATGATTTAAAGTCGTCCATACAAATAGCGCGGAAACTCTACTACGCCCAGTAACCACAAGTTCCTTATGTTGTTCCATAAACAATTTTTAAGAAAATCAGTTCGTTATTTTTCATTTCATTAATACGTCAATAAAAATTACCTAGCCCTTAAATAAATGGGGTCAAATTACCATCTCATCGGCAAGATTTTGCCGTCTTATTTTAAAATAATTGCTGCAAATATATTTACTAACTGCATAAAAAAAATCAAGAATATTAAAATTTGTACCTATGTAGAAAACCTACACCGAAGAAAATTTAAAGAATTTTTTTTTTGCAATTAAATTATATTTAATAGCTAACCAAAACGTCAGGTTAAAATTCGATCTCAGCAATAAACTTTTGCCCTCGTCGCGCGTCGGTACGAATTGCGATCACGCTAGAAAGTTTTTTTTTTATTTAAATGTGTTTTAGTATAAATAAATAAAACTGGGGTGTATAGAATTTCAATATATAAAAATATATTATTATATTTGATCAATTTTGCATTCACAATGCTATAATAGAAAATATTCTTAGTAAAAATACTTTAAAAATCCACATTAAGCATTTTTCATTAACGACATTAATTATAAAGCCAACTAAAATGTTAGGTTAAACGCGATTTTTTAATAAAAGGCTGTGTCATTACAAGTTTCAATCATGCTAGAAGATTAAAATTTTATATTTAAGTATATTTTAGCAAACATAAAAAAATTTTGGGGCGACATCGACTATAAGGAAAAATAATTTGGATTATACTTATAAGGGACACTCAATGTATATATAGAGGTGTGTATTTATTATATGTGTGCGTATTTATGTATATATGTACTACCCATCTATTTAATTAACAGACCACAGATCAGATCGAGACAAAATAAAATTGTTATTCCGAAATGTAATTTGACATTATTCAAACAAAATGTTTATTATATGGCTATAAATATATTCAACAAGCTTCCATCGAAACTAGTAGACTTACCGATTAACCGAAACATTTTTAAAAAAGCTTTGACGGAGTGGCTTCTGAACAAATCATTTTACTCGATACAGGAATATTTGGAATGCAAGCAATTTTAATAGAGTAAAAATCGCTTATAAATAAATAAATTATTATATACAAAGACAATATAAATAAATTATATACAATGACATATTTTATAATGTGTATGATAAAATTATTTTGTAATTGACATGGATTTATGTATTAAGTTTACTTGACTTATTATTTTTGTAACATATAAATTGATTCGAATTTTGACATTATTACTATTACTTAATTTTAAACTATAAGACTGAAATAATATGTAATAGGAACTGAATGAAATGTTTTTAAGTTAATGATGTGCGAATAAAATAATATCATAGTTAATGCATGAATAGATTAAAATGTAAATTTATATAACTACTAAAACTATTGCACATTGTCAAACAATAAATATGTGATACGCTTATTTTATGACATCTGTTACACCATATTTTATGCAATAAATGATTGATTGATTGATTGATTGATTGACCAGTCTAACCTGTGGTTACCTGGAAGAAATTACTGTAGTAATAAAGCCGCCGATTGTACAACTAAACCCTATCAAATAGCCATTTTCTATAACTATGGTAATATAGTACGTATAGTACGTAATAAGTACAATAAAGAATTTATTCATTCATTCAGAATGAGAACTTCTTAAATAAGCCCAAACGTTTTTGCATATAGATATTCGTGTATATCAAATATATCTATTTCAAATTAAGACATGAATGAACCCTCATCAACTCCCTCCTCGGGTACACATAACCTGAATTCGCTATGGAATATCAAATATTCGCAATCGATTCAGTATTCTACATGCAAAGCACTAAAGACTATAATGGATTTGAGAAGTTTGACAGTTTTAGTACCGATGGCTGAACCTCACAGTACAATCACTAATATCTCACGTGCAAGATAAACATGACCTATTTGAAATGCAAAGAGTAAATATCACGTAAAAACTAAAAGTTTTGAGTTTTCTATTTCATTGTGACTTGTGCATGAATTAAACCTGCAAAATACGATAGAAAGAAAATTTTGTTTCGTTTTCCTATCAGCCTTACATAGAACAACTCTAGTGTATATATCTTTAACTATATTCTTAACTTGTAGATAAATCTCGTTTAACCTAAAATTGGATGCAACAACACTGCCCACGCGCACGCGGGCGTACCCGGGGCATGAGGTGAAGAGGAGGAGGGCCCGCAAGCACGTCACACTAGGGATGTCGGCAATAAAAAAATATCGATATTTATTAAAATATCAATAGTAGCATCGATATATCAAAGGAAAAATATCGATATATCGATCAAAGCGCAATAAACACGAAAGTATTTTACCAGTATTCCTTTTTATTAGACAAATATCAAGAATATGTCGTAGACAATATGTTTTTTTCTTCGTTCTATCCTATCTTCTACAGTTTCGGGTTTCAGCGACTTCAGTGCCAGAAGAATACAAAAATTATCGTTTTCGACACAATTTTCGACACTGGATATTTTGTATAGATATTAGGATATATCGGTTAAAAATATCGATGTATCGATACTTTTTCAGCAAGCCTACGTCACACTCCACGATCGCACGGGATGCAGCTCTCATTCCTTTATTGTCGGACTACTTTGGTACTTTAATCATTATATGCCTTAATTTACAGTCGACGTTCTTTTATTCATCTTACACCTAACCACCAAATATATGTTTGTTTCTAAATTTCAACCTTTGAAATAAAATAACAATATAACACCAATTCAGCTAGTTTCGATGCAATTCAGTAGAGTTAATTTGCTTATTTTAGTACGAAAGAGGATTATTTTCTTGACCAGTACTCACTGAGGACGGATTTACAATAACTGTGCCGTCTACGAACGGCGCGAATCCTGGCAAGAAACGTGGTGGATCTAGTCTTACAGCAAGTAGTTCGCTAAGAGGCTTGTTTCTCAAGCACGGCGCCAAATCGTCTTCTAGAAGATCACCGTGGCAACCAGTTTGTTCCGCAACCTGGAACAATAGTAAAGTCTACATTCAACCTAGTAAAATTTTATTTGGCATGCCAAAGATTTAAACGCTCAATATTAACATTAATTAGTAACATTTTTAGTTTGTTTATTGGATATTCATAGTGATATGTATTCATTGAATTCGGAGTATACTACTTTATAGTAAAAAAAGAATCCAATGACAGACAAGAACGTAGAATAAAGCCTTTCAAAGGCTTCTTTTATAGGTATCACTGTAAGATAAAGCTTAATGATTTTCTGTTATTTGCGGTAAGATCACCCTGTGTCGACCTATTATAGTTAAAAGGAGAAGCATTTGAATAAGATTTTTACAAAAAAATTATAACCAGCTTCACATATATCGAAGAATGGTATCATATAAATTGTATAGTTTAGTTAGTTAATTGATAAACCAGATGTAGACTTTTATAGTGAACCTAACTTGAGAAAACGGGGAACTTAAAAAAAATATTCCCAGATTAGTTCAGACAAGAACGGATTTATTAAAATCGATCCACTATTACTATTAAATATAGCAGAACATAACATAAAATAAAAATTCAGTCGATGACATGAATTACCATCCTTTTTGAATCGCTATATTTAATTTCCAATTAAATTGCTAACAATTTTGTAGCGTTTTCGTAAAATGTCTAATACAGAACCAGAATCGTAAAATGCTGCAAAATCTAAAAAGAACAACCAAAATTTCTTTGACCGGCAAAAAGCTCAAAGCTATTTTTTGTTGATTTGGCAGAATGCTTGCTTGAAAAGCTTTCTAGTTTATTTATTGTGAGATTTAGTAATTACCTAACATTCGATATGTGTATTCCGATGAATATTCAATATTATTGAATAATCATGTTTATGAATGCCATCTTTAACCAGCAACCTAATAGTAATTGTAAAATTAGAGCATTTGTTGGCTTAAATGTTGATTAGAAATGGACGAAGTTCCCACTTTACTCTCAAACGTTTTCTGCCTAATACATTTACCCTAAATTGGCCCAGCATATTAAAGTAATGACGATTCACCTTTCTTTTTATCGCAAGGGGCTCCCTCTGCAACGCCCACGAGCTCAGTCCGGAGCCGCTTAACAAAATGACGCGCCTTAGTAGTTCTGAAACAGATAACCTCATTTAGTTGTGACATTTTAAATAAGGATGAATAATTAAATTGAAATGTTGTCTGGAAATGAATGTTTGACTTTCGAATTCCTTTTTCTATATTAAGTTAATAAGGAAGATGGCGTACGATGTTGACCTAATTTTTGAATTTCGTTTTACACTTATCCTCTTGTGCACGAATGATGTGATCCCTTTTTTATTTAATTAATTGGTGGACGTAAGATGTACACAACATGAAATATTATATACTGTGAATTATTTATATAATGTGATATTTAAATAAATGAATTTTAACCAGTTTTAACAACGCTGAAATGTCAGGGCCTCGACAAAAACAAGGTACATGGTAGCAATCCCATAAAAACTGTTATCGTACCTTCTTTATAAGTCTAGTATAGTCTTTATAAGTCTATTTTAAGAAGAAACATAATTCCCTGTTACATACTCTGTGACTAAATTACACCTGCCAATGAAGTGTCTTAATTGACAACGATGTATCTAAAGACAAATTGACAATGCCGATAAATAACCAACTGAAGCGAAAATATTTGAATTTAGAATAAGAGGCACGTATGTCACGAATTGAAACAAATGATATTAAACGAAGAGTGAACACGTTTATTAATGAAAATCAGCACTCACTCGTAAAGGAAAAAGGAGTTCGGCAATTCTTCCGTACCGAACATAGCACAGCTGAACATTCGACAGACACTTAACCACGTTTCAAACCTTTTTACCGTTCAAAAACCTTGTTTTAGCTATTTTACTACTTATATACATTCATCGTAAGCCTCCTTTCCGAGAGAATCGTTTTGTATCCTAAGTATTATTTACACCTCTTGTAAAATTCAACAAGTTTCACGGTTCCACCGCAAACAATCGTGTGAATCTTAAAATGTGTTAGTGCTATTCACGTTACATATAAGCCGTCTTACATGGGCCTTCATTTCTTATTAAGCCGAGTGATCCGAGTAATACTTAAACGAAATAAACGTTTATATCTGTACCATTAACGAACAAAATCTGGATTCTTGCCAATTATATACTACTTAACTCTACTAAACTAGTTATACTGTAATATTTTAATAGTTTTGAGCTTTAAGTACACAGAGTATTTGAGCTTTAAGTACATTTATATTATTAATATATATTTTTTAGAAATAGTCCAAAAGACTATTCTACAAACGAGACAAAAGACTGTTGAGGTGAGATTGTTACAAACATTGTACAATATTTTCAAATTATTTTAAGTAATAATTCAATAAAAAGAAACTAACGAGTATTCTAAAAATAATTGACAAAATAGATGGCAATAATGAAGATTTGGTTAGAAAGTGAATTCGAACACAATTATAAATATTCCAAACACGATTTTAAACTTGATATTTTATATAATGACAACGTATATTTGAACTATATCATAATGATATTTAGACATTTTTAAATACTAGAGCAACTGATATTTAGTTTTGTCTACAATTGGTGAACACATATATGGAGTAATTGAATAACATTTGATAATTGAAGGTCTCTAAATACCGAGACAATTCACTCTATAAACTTTTGGTGACATATCACTAATATAGGTTACATCTTTTTTACAGCTAGATTCCTTATTAAAATTAACATCATCCAAAAAATGGAATAAGAACGTCAATATGCACAGAATGTCAATCAATTCATTGTAATCAGAAAATTAGTTCAATACATACAATAAGTTCAGTTTAATATTGAATTAATGTTATATTTTAATATATTTTATTTCTATAAATGACAACATCCATATCCTTTATAGTAATATTTCTCCATTAACCAGAGTAATTCCGTAAGGCACCATATTGAGACCAATACTTTATATTTTATACAACGTTGACTTGCTTGCGTCTAGACACTACAAGTGTACATTTTTTGCTATATGGAACTAATCAGCTTAAATAGAAACTATTGGGATTAGGTGTAATCTTATATCAAATAGCCTTCACGAATACGATTTTTTAGCCTAATGGTAATGACACATAGAGCTATCGGAGAAATTAATGAAGATCTGTAACAAATTATTGAATGGTTCAATATATAGTTAAAGCTTTGTTCATACTTTTATGACTAGGTAAATTTTAACACCTGTGAAAAGACTACAAAGAATATAAACATGTTCATCAATGATAAAATAGAGTAACTTTTTTTGTACTAATTACTCAAAAATAACATTAATTGACAATATCTTTTAAACCTTGTCCGGTTAATAATAAAAAAAAATAATAGAATTATATAACTTGGAGGAATCATCCTAAAGTAATGCTTGTATACGATTTTATATTTATAATAGCTTTCCGTCGACTTCGCACACGTGTTCCTACTATACTTATGAACTTTCCTCTTGGCACACTCCATAAATTGATGAAATCCGTACATACATATAACGGAAAACGACTTTGTATTATACTATGTTTAGATATATTCACCTCTTGCCACTGGGGACACTGCGAGGAAGTTAGCTAGTGCCGCCCCAGTCCCGTGACCCATGATGGTGACACTCTCAGGATTCCCTCCGAACGCCGGTAGATTTTCCCGCAGCCAATGTAACCCCGCCACCAGATCCATCAGTCCAAAGTTACCCTGCGCCGACCCCTTAGCACCAGTTTTTAGAAAACCTACGAAAAAAATATAAATTTAATTTCATAAACGGTAATAAATCTTTTCTTTATATACCGCCTGAGTAACTGTGAGACGTCTTTCAGAAACTTCGTTCCGGTAATTAACCATGATTAATTGATTCCACTGTTTATTTTAAATCGCTCAGACATAAAATCTGAACATGATATTGCCAAATAATTAGATTTAAATTGAATAGAATGAATTTATTTATTTCAAATGATATTTTAGATATCAGAAGACTCAATAGTCCATTAATATACCAATGGTTTGTCGAAATGAACTAATAATATTAAGACAAAAAAAAAAATAGCCCGATAAATACAGTAAAATCCAATTCATTCGTCATTTTTATCTATATCTTAATACAAATTACCAGTATAAATATAGTTTTTTTTTAACTTAGTTATTTCAAATCGGTAACATATTGTTTTTTTTTATTGTACTTTTACGTATGTATATATAATGATGACTTCGGATACCTTGTTCATTTCAAAATAACAAAAAGCTGAAGAAATTTAAACAAGAGACAAAAATAAACCTATTAATATTTTAACGTTGTTTACTTTAGATATTATTCAGAATTATATGTCACAGACACATAAGCAGAGTCTACCTTAAGTATCGTATTATAACGTGTATGAGTGTCTATTTTTAAGAGCATTCTTACTTCGTACCAATATTAGAATTGCAAAAGTTTGTTCCGTTATTTGTTTGTTGAAAACACGCTCGTGCTGAAAAGAACCAGTTTAGTTGAAATATATCTATTATTTTATAATTATCTAAGGAGCGTTTGATCTGCCTTTATTTTCGTGAGCATTGGCTATTGGATGGGTGATCAAAAATTTACTATCTGAAAGCTCCTTCGTGATTCGAAAGACACATGGAGACGATCCTCCCGAAGTCCAGGCATTAAAAAGTTTTTAACCTCAATCATTTAATAGGAAAATTCTTTAAAGATACCTGCCACCTGGTGTGCAGCGAGGTTATATGAGACTCTCTTATGTGGATCCATCAAGCGGGCACTCGCTCAATGGACCAACAGAGGTCTATCCACTAATATTACAACAATGTAATAGTTTTTTACGGGGTTGTAGCAGTTAAAACCTATATTATATATATAAACATATCTTAAACGGTTTCATCTTACGTCCTGCTCTAACTTCAGTTTTTACAATGTCCTTTTATAACGAATATGATGAAAATCACAACCTCGAAACTCGGTTTTAGGTAGGTCATAAAAATTCGAGTATAAAAACAAAAATATAATAATTTAAAAAGATAAATTACTCTAAATATTTCATCCCAAATGTACTTATCTCTTGTAGGAGAATCGCAAATAGTCGAATACGAAGTTGATGGGATCGTTAAATATAGAAATCTTTTTGATTATGCCCAAAAAACAATGTAGCTTCAAGGCACAAAATTGAATTGTTCTTTCTCGTTAGAGACAAATTATTCAAACATTATTATTCAAATTTATCAAAATATAAGAACACTTTTCCACTTTTCTTTCATTTAATAATGTCAGTTAAATTGACATGAATTTATTCTATCTTCTATAAATAAATGTTTATTGCACCATTTATAGTTTTTTAAACATCATTGTTAATTATAAACTGTATATTAATTTATAATTTAATGCTTCACGCCGTTCAATAATTACTAAGTATGTTTTATTGATACAAAATTAACGAACGCGATGGAAACAACATAACTTCCGCAATAAGGATGACTAAAAATGTAGCACTAGCTTGTGCACTAGTGTGCTCCTGCATTACACTCGTTAACTCTTGAATCACTCCTTATATTGATCAAAACTGGATTAAAAACTGTACTGTAAATTAAAAGATCTCAGCGTACGGACAGCGGGAAGCGAAAGTGTTTTAAACATCAAACATAAATCGGCAAATCCTTCTAAAAGCACCTTACGTTTTTAAATCTAACATCGTCTTGTTATACAGTAAAATACATGTTACTGACACTTAAACTTTGTAATGTCGCCTTCATTATATATATTTGATTATCAAAAATAAACTTTATTTTCTATTACTGTCCAAATAATCGTTTTTTTTTGCCGTCGTCTGTGAAGAGGAAAATATTGGAAAACTGTCATTTTTGCTTGGTCATTATACCCAATTTAGACGGTATAAATTTCAGAATGTTTTATGATAATTCGAGAGATTTATACTTAATTTATCACACCAATTGCTTAACGCTTAATTTACCATCTTATTTGTAATAAGAACTGTTGTTTTATGATTCATTTTTGTTTGTTAAAAAGACGTTACGTAAGAAAATTCTTAAAGCTTCGCACGCACTGCATATTTTTGTCACCGTATATCTTTCGTTGATAGCAGCAGCAGAATTCGCAGAAGTTATAGTTACTCGTATCAAACGTCAGCAATGCGTACGTAGCCTAAATATTTTTTCTCTTGGTTTTATATAAAGTCTTTATAAGAAACCGAGATTTTTTTAGGTCTTGGTCATCACCAGGTCCAGTCCAGTCCATACTAAATAATATATATATAAAGAAAATATTATTATTAGAATCGTACGTTCATGATCCACCATATTTAAGTGCGTAAATGTTTATCAAAAAATAAAAGACTCCAAATGAACAAAAGCCGATTACGAGAGTATTATAAATGAGCTTATATAAAATATTCGCTAAGGGAAAAATAAAAAAGAATCAATGCAAAAGACTCAGTCTTATTTTACCTGTTTTGAGACACTGTAATTACATCACGCACTCATTTCAAAAACTTGGACGGAAATTTTCTTTTCAAAGTAAACTCTGGAAGTTTCGATTACATTATGTTGTCTTGACAAACAAAGGAAGGTGGAGATGGGTATTTTCAAAGAAACAACTAGAAGGAATGTCTGGAACTAGCTCTTAAATAATTTGTACGTCGAACGTGTCTTTTATTGTAATGAAACTCGAAGAAATTTTCATTAGTCTTCCCAATTTTCTAAGTTGACTGTCACGTGAGTCTTCATAGGGTTGCTCATGTGCTAATTTTAACATGGTCAACCAAAACTTTTTTACTTCATACTCCTTGATATGAAACTTACCTATGTTAATTGTGACTGTATTACCATAGAATTCAGTAGCAAAACATATTTTCGCGTTATTAATATCAAAATATTACTTGTTCAAATTATTTAATTGATTGGAATCTCACTTCGAATTATCATGGAAGATGGGCCATAACCCTCCACGCTGACCCAATGCGGATTGGAAGGTATTAACGACTGCAAATGCAGCCGGAACTAACTTCTTAATGTACCTTCTAAAGCACGTAGTACGAGCTCGAGATACAAATTTTTTGATCACCCACTCATTTCTTGGCCAAAGTTGCTTAGCAACAACGATCACAGGCCCAGGAGCTTATCCACTACGCCACCGCTACTCCTGTGATCACTCACCCAATACACCTAATCTAAAATTGATAGTGACTACGATGATGTTGCCGTGTGCCGCTAGTGTGGTCCCGTCATACGCGTTACCCGAGCTCCACTCGTATGACTCTCCGTGTACGAATACCAAGCAGGGTAGTCCTACGTGTCCGCTTTCGTCATCACCACCTGTTTGAATAAAGAACAGAAAATTAAAATAAGAAGGGCATATATCACAAATCTCAGTGGTGACATCTACATGTTTTTGCACCGCCTTTTAATACGAGATTTAAGTTATTTAAATACTTTTTGTAAGTATTACAACAGATGTAATTAGACCCCGTTAATGGTGGACTCTTTTAGAGATGGGTATACGTTTATGATGTATACTTATATTGCTAATTGCTTTAATATAAATACAATTATTAATAAATTTGTTTGATTTTTACCCATCCAATAACATTGACGAAAGTCATTCGTGTTAGGTCCTGAGCTACTCAGTGGTTAGAGCAATTGCCTGGTTTGCGAAAGGAGCAAGTGGATTTTTAAACATTTTTCATTATGAATATTTTTCAGTATGGCATTTTGAATGCAAAAATAATAAAATAAAATAATTAGGGTGTGATTTTATACAATAGACTGGCGGCAGTATTATCGACCACAAAAGAGCACATAATCAGATACCTGACGGACAAAACGGGAAAGCAGTTATTTATTTCTCTATTTCGATCGTTCTAGTTTCCGCGTATTTCGTATTATTTCTGGACCAGGCCATGATTACTGTGACACAGAGTGTGAAATAGATATCATAAATTTAGCTTTCGAAGGTATCTTCGAAAGATACCTTCGAAAGTTAAATTTATTGTATATATATATATATATATACAATATAGGTTAACGCATTATCACTTAACTATAGGTTAGTCCACCACTGCCTAGAACATTCTAGATGTGGTATTCATTAATACGCGGTGGACTACTCATCCCGGCATTCCTTCAGTGAAATTAAACTGGAAATGAGTGCGAATACAAGTGAAATCTGAAGCGAAAACTAGTGAAGTAAAGTCAGTGTGTGTGTTTTGCTCATTTAACTGGCGTTAAATTTTTACCCTAAACTCTAAGTCGTAACATTATTTTTTATAAAACAAGCTTTCCTATAACTAGTTCAGCAAGTAAACGAAAACAATATACAAAAATAACTGATTGAGTAAACCCAAATATGGCCAAAAACATTTAATCAGTATATTATACGTCATTTTAAAAGTTACTGAAAGGGACATGAGATAAGGGTTATTACTTATTATATACAATATAAATCTCAAACAGTTATCTTCTGCATCCAAACAATTTCGAATAAAATTATACTGTTTTCGGCAATTACTCCACACATTCGACACCTTTACGGGTCAGAAAATCCAGCGTTATCCGATATATATATATATAATATAGCCGATGCGTTATCTTAAATTTTATTAATTAAGTACCTGAATAAATTAGATTAGAATGAGATTGCTAGGCAATGAGTGGCTGCTCAATAGCTTATCAAATTTTTACACGACAAGAAAATTGAAATTGAAGATTATGATGCTTTCAATTTACAAAGATTTGTATTCCGAACTTTCTACATATAAAACACGACCTATCGTTGTCAGGATTAGGTTCCTGATATATGTTGTATCTTGGAGACCAACAAAATAACGAATGAATCAGACTTTGTACAACCATGGAGTTTGATTGCCGCACCCTGCGTTCTCTATAAATAGACATAGCACACAATGTGAACCTGTACTCCCAAAGGGAATCTGATTCAGAATACTAAGTTTAAATATTTAGAAATTAAATTTTCCATATACTATGATATTACATCTACTATATTGATACAATTTGTGGTATACCTAAGAAAATAATTTACAAACATTGTTTTTAAAATATGAATGAAGATTCAAATTTAAAGGGGCAAGTACTTCTACTTACATACTAGTTAACTTGATACCGGAGGGCCTATGCCCAGGTATCGTGTTATTACGAGTAGTACCTAATGACTGTGCAAAAAGAAGAATAAGAAAAGAGGAGAGCAGATAAATGTCACAGATATCACAATCATTAATCATTGGATACGGTTGCGCTAGACTGTTTCGCCAAATTACAATACAAATCAGTGGGAAAATGAAATGAAAAGTGGCAGAATATCTGTTGATATAAATAAATCATAAAGAGTATCTTTCATTTCATAATTTCTTATCATTTAAGAAAACAATATTTGCCAAGACTACAACGAATTTATTTCACCTGTGAATCTAGAATTTTCTGAAAAATATCATTCCAGACGATTCCAATTCATCTGAAAAAATACCGTCACTGTGATATCTATTCTACCTTTGAATAGAAATAGATTGTCACTTTGACCTTAAGCAATAAATGTGGTATCTGAAATCAATACAAATAATAGAAGAAAGAGGTGTTCCTCAATATGAATATAACCTACATAGTAAACCATTCTACTATAGGACGAATATTTTATTTCGCCTTCACAAATAAGAGATAAAAGGCACGAAATATGAAACTATAGTACGCATAATGTAGCAAACGGGGCAACTCAATGGGAGGAGGGCTGGATAGAAAGTCGAGTGCCACTACTGGCAGAACCGATCGAATTCTAATCAAATGAAACTAGAGTGAAAATAACACAAAAAATGAACAATTCTTCAGAACGCATTTGTAATGCATCATAAGATCGTAGAAATAATTTTAGTTGTAACCTTTTTTATTCCCAAAGGATTTATTTGATTGGCAATTATGCGAAGGCATCTATTAAAAAATAACCAATTTTTTAAAAATATCAATTGTACCTGATAACAAAGTTATTAACGAATAAAATTTAATGTCTCTACCTCATTCAGTCATCATCGTTTTTATTAATCATATATGTCATAGAGCTTTCATAATTTAAATTATCACAAATTTTCTAAATTGCAACTATTTACAATACAAGTATCCATTTTTATTTCAGAGCTTTGCGTACAATAATATACATTTCAGCGTTAAAATTGAAATGACAACGACAACAAAATGGGCTTTATAAAAACAAATCGATAGGCGTGAAATTCTCAAATCCTATTATTTCCGTTGACACAGGGCTCATTCCTGTTGACGTTGCGGCTTATTCCAGCAGATGGCGCGCGGCTGATTCTCTGTGATTCCCGTCCTATTGCACTGTGGTATGTGTAGATGTTGTATGGGTTGCCTCAACCTCACTTCCGCACTGCTTGCAGGGAGTACGGATACACTGCAATGCACTACGGAATTGAGGTCTCGACACCCTTCGTTCTCCACTATCTTGCATTATGGCGTCACCGTAATCATTAATTACTAGAAAACTTATCCTCATTAAAGAAAAGAATGCATACTAACACTCATACTAACAAAGATATCTATAGTCGAGAGAAGTAATTACTTGAGAAAATGGCATAATTTAAGCAGAATGAACTAAGAGACGACAATTTGAATTTAATAAGAACTACAAATAACTAATAATATTATTATTCTTACTACTAACAGCTTTTACTTCATATAAATTCTTGTTAATTTGATAAAAAAATGACTTAAGTAATTACTTTTACTCGACTAAAGATACTCGACAAAATCTTATATAACAGCTAAAAGTATACAGTACAATCTGAAATAAATGACACGAGTTAATACTTCTAATAAAATAAACCTTCGTATAAGAAACTAATATCGTTATATATCATATTTACGGATCAATTCAGAATTGGTGTAGTACCTACCTAAAATATTTTTTCAGTTTCCATTAATAAATTATGGGCACTAAGCATACTTATCAGAATAAATAAGATACAAATAATATTTATGTTCAATTCAATTACCGAATGTATTCAATTTATTTACATAAAAGATATGAAACCTAATATTTTTTGTCAAAACCATTTCATTTCAAATTACTGGACTAAGATTACCGATATTATTACTTATTTTCGATTTCTTGCCGATGTAAAAACAAAACTGGGGAAACTTGGCAAATTATTTTAATCTTCTAACAAAACAAAACGGGCAACTTTCGCTAAGTTGTACCTGCGTAATAATGAAGTTCCTTAGAAAATTACAGAAGTTTTGTTTTCGAGAACAAGCCATCGTTCACTTCGGTACGAATTATAATTATCGTCAAAATCACGTTTCTGTCTACCATGATTGGCAAATTTCGTTACATTTATTTGCGGCGTTATTCTATTACTAGAATTTATTTTTAAAAAGAATATTTATCAAAAAGGCTCATATTCAATATGTTTCGTATTGTATACTAGATAACCCGGTGTTATTCATGCCACCTATACCGTGTAAATCTTCCCTAGACTTCGATAAACATACAAAGACACAACGTCCAAATAAATACATGAAAAAATGGTTTGAACATGAAAATATAAAACTTTAAGTAAAAATTATATATATATATATATGAGTCACTTTGTAGACGTATTTACGGAAAACTTTTAGAGTAATCTAAATTGAACGTTTTGGTTTCGTCTCGTTTCCTCTTTTACTTTTATAACCAGATTTAATACGATAGGGATGATGGCTGGGTAAAAAAAATCTATTGAGTCTGTTAATCAGAAAATAGTATTTTTGTTATCGTTAAATTTAACAAGAAATAAGAAAAATAATGCCCTCCCTTCGTCACAACTATGTAGAAAATGTATAAAGGTGACGTCGTGTGACATTTCAACCCAATCTACCACCGTTATTTATTGATTATGCAAATAAAAATAAGTGTTTAATATTTTTCGATAATCTACCTGACCGACAGGCGAGAAAAATCAGTCGTCATCTCTATTAATTTTAAATTGAAGCGCAGTTTATCTCGAATCTTAAGTTACAAATACGAACTTATCTATAGATATTTAAGATGGCTGCATATTTATCATAAGCTTGATATTCATCTTTCGTCAGATTTGCATCGAACATTATAATTATGACGCACGAAAGCGATATTTCAATATTTTCAACGATCTCTGTGTAATGGAAGCTTGACTGTTTTATATTATTTGTTTTGTAACTTAAGATCATAGATATGTAAAAATAATAAACTTTAAAACACTCAAAAGGCCTCAACTTACTGGAGAAATAATCAAGAAGAGATAAACTACAGTCAGCTGACATTAATTATTGCTATTGAATGAACTGATAGACAAGAAAGAATTTGATGTATAATATAATTCATTAAAAAATAGAATAGCTGAACTAACTACGACGAGGTATTCGGACGACGTTGGAATTTTTAACTCAATTAACCTTTTAGATTATACCTAAACATTTCATATTATATATAGGGTGATAAAAGTTAGGTACATATATTTTTACAGCTGACAGTTCTCTGTTCTAATTTTGAAAGTATATCAAGTATAAATCATTATAGATTTAATGATATTTTTTAGAGAACTTTGGGTAACAAATTTGCTACTAACCAACCTGTTACTTAGCCTGAAATAAAATGACCTCTTTTAACTTATTACTTTAAGATAAGTATCTAAAAATAATTGCTAAATATATTTTTTTCACTTAAGCAAAAAAAAAAAAGAATAAACAACATACGTATCGATTTTTTTTATAAAGATATAAATTAATTAAAGCCATTTTCCTTTACTGTCGGAATCTTCTGGATTGTATTTTTTTCATTTAAGATCGTGTTTGGGACAATGAAAGATTGAAATATCCAGATTACTAATTTATTTTATAACAACGTTTCATCTTTCTAATCATTTTACCTATAAAACCTAACTGTGAACAGAAAATAAATGAAAAATACTTAATATTGCTAGATTTCTTTTTAAACTTGTTTTAATGAAAGGTATCATGTCCTTAAACATCTGTAGTTAATTTGTAACCACCTAAAATACATTTTTCATAGTAACTTGCCCAAAAAACAGTGAAATTTCTCAGTTATGTGATTACATCAAAAATAGTCTTAAACGGTGAATACTTAATTTTTAAGTACAATTTTAATTTGAAAATGTCATATTAGGCTTTGGAAGCGAGTAATGGTTTAGAACATTACTTAGTTCGAGATATCTACATAATTTAATCCTTTTATAAGTACAGATTACGAAATTCAGAGGTAAATAGTACATATTTGACCACTACGATGACTAAATTTTCTACAATTTTGTGTAGGAAATTGTTATAATTGCTTTAACGAACGTTTGAAACTTCAGATATAATTTTATTAGAGATTAATATTTTACGAACCTAAAATTTTAATAAATTATGGAAGAGATCGCGCAGTTAAGCAACTTTCGCAAGGGCCGGTTATATGATGGGTAACCAAAACTTTACCATCTCGAGCCATCCGTCCTTCAGAAGGCACATTTAGCCGTTGGTCTACAAGTGGAGGCAATAATAGGCTAGTGGTGATATCATAATAATAGAAACTCATTTAATTATTTTGTAAAATCTTTTAAGTTTTTATTAAACTGATTCCAAAGAGACAGAATGCACTGTGTAATTAAGTAAATAAATATTGGACATTATCACATACACGTGTAGTATCTGAGAAAACGAAGGTACCATAAGAGACAATATAGTAAAGAATATTTTCTACATTGACCCGACTGGAAATCAAATCCGAGACCTAGGGAACCTCGACCTCGATACTTTGAAACCAGCATACAAACCACTCGGCTACGGAATTCGTCGGAGGTTAATATAGATATAAAATAAATCTGGAAACGGTCCGTTTGTCATATTATCTACTTTCAAATTTACGTTCTTTCAAATTTCCATAAAGCAAGTGCTTACCTACTTTAACTTTTATATATGTAATGTTATTTTATATTTATTTATGAAATGATCATCAGTGTACGCATGTGCTATTTCCCTGCCGTGTGAATTCACTATAAAAATAATTTGTGATCAACCGTTAGCGTTTTGATAGCGTTTCTTACCGTTCACGGGGACATAAATGTTGACGTAAAGACAATCCTCGCTCTGGTTAGACAGCATCGGGAGCAGTCTCTCGAGCTGACGGAGACGCGCACGAGGATGAACGAGCAAAGCCTCCTCGCGGGGCGAAGCGGGCGGTGGCGCCTGCGGACAAGCGGGGCCGGGCGCGTCCGCTAGTTTCGGCGTTCGCCACTGCGACGGGGTCACCGGCGGCATATATCTGGTTGTTTAATGAAATTATTAATAAATGTATATAATGATCTAAAATATATATCAGTGTCTAGAAAAACTGTTATCGATAATCTGCAACAATTATTATTAAATTGTGACCTTATCAACAGAATTATGCGCTAATTTGCAAATAAAATTATTTGACAATTGTTTGTCCCAGCGTCGCGCTGCTGATGATGAGATATACACCAACCTCTAGTTCACCGGCCAGTTAAACGCAAAAATGATGAAATATTGTATTGTAATTGATATTTCACCAAGCTAAGTTCTCCTCACCTCCTTTAGATATAATTCTGTCTTTTAGAAATTTATATAAACATTTTTTTCTTCTATTACTATTACTTACCTAAGACTACCAAGAGGTGGCGTTGCATACGGCACGCCGAGGTACGCCTCGACCTGCGGATGCGAGTGTACAACGATGCCACGCAACGGCCCGTACTTCGTGCGCACCACCCGCGTGCTGTACTTATGCGAGGAGAGCGCGGCCGCGCAGCAGACGAGCCACGCGGAAAGCGCGGCGTGGCTCGCGCGCATCACGCGCACGGCGAGGGCGCGGGCGCCGCCGTCGCGCCGCCGGACTCGCGCGCGCTCCTGCGCATCACGCGGTCCGGCGAGCGCACGCGCGCCCTCCAACGCACCCTCGCGACATCCTCATACGTCTTTCTCGCGCACCCGCGTCCACTGTCATTATTATACGCACCTAATTTCACACCCACACTAATTTTAAAAAACAATTAATGACCAAACGCAACTTTATCACATTTTCATTCGACTCACCCGAATCATGATTTAATCGTTCTTAGTTTACGCCGGGCTGAATCAATCATTGGCTCGACCTGAAACAAGGAACAATATTTTATTATATTAAGTACGTAAACAAGTATGATAATAATATTATTTGTATGTTTAAATACAAAAGCTGCACGGTGGTTTTGTAATTATCATAAATTTAATTTTTAATCAAATATGAAGGGAACATCGTTGCGCATGAAATTTTGGCTGTGTGGAAACCTTCACTTTATAAGTGAGGCAAATTATGTTGGTTTAAGCGATTTATTTGTTTGTAACATTACCAAATTTGGATGAAAACCACATGACCGATAATGTTGTCTCTTAACTCTCTTCTCACCAGTGGAGATGATAAAAATGGATATTACAGACGCCTTATCAAATTGAAACAAACAGCAACAAAAACGGTTTAATAAAAAAATTAATGGCGGATATTGCGTAACATTGGCAGGCTCGTCTAACAGTAACAAATTGATATAGGTACAAACACAGGAGCAAAATCACTTTCCTAAAATTAAATTAAGGTATGGCATATTTTCATAAAAAGTAACATAAAATTTAATTTTAAAAAACACCTAACCACAAGTGTATGCAGATATTCTATGGCGTAATCATAGTTCCTCAACAAGTAATGGTTCAATCAACAGGGCTGTTTCATTGCCTATCGCCAAATTATTATATTCAAAAGCTCTCATCTCTTTTTATATAAAAATCAAAAAGAAGTGAGCGACCAGGCCCAGTACCGCTCCCTAACGACAATATTTGATGCCTGTCAGTAATATTAAACGGATTTCTGTCAACAACATCGGTACACTGAGCCGCATTGGGTTACGGAACCAATTCACAAAGAAAGCAAAGGGCGTCATCAATCACCCGGTGACGGACGTAGGCTGTATGGAGCCGCATTTAACGTGGACCTTGATATTGTCGCATCACTAACTTCTTAAACGTCCACGGAAATAAATTTAAACCCAAACAATACCAGCCGATAATCATTCACAATATAGTTGGTGAGAGTACTACAACCAATTTTTTTGTCTACTGATGAAAAATACATAAAAATACAAATAAGAATTTCGTTTCATAATACAACGTTAGGATGTTATACACCAGTAATTAAGAGACAGCCTAAAAAAATAATGCAACAGCGTTTGATGTAAAAATCTGTTCACGTAATAAAGAGTACGAAACGGTAAAATTAAAAGTGACCTCACCAAACAAAACCCTAAAACACGTGTATTCTACGTGACGGAAAAAGTGAAAATGAAGACATTTATTTTCATTCTAAAATATTTCCTACGAACAATGGCGGACGTTTTTTGCGACCATATTTTCCTACATCGGCACTGGCACGAAAATAACAGGTAGACATCTATTTAAATGAGCGCCAACATTAACAATAACAGATCCTACCTCGGAGGGTGTTAGGAGTGAGAAATTCACAGTCAAACCTTTTTAATTATTGTCATTAGTCACGACCGAGGTCTCGTGTGGCCACATTATGTAGTGAAAAGTTTCAAAGTGACTTAATCTCATCCTATTAATATTATAAAGGCGAAAGTTTGTAAGTATGGATGTATGGATGTTTGTTACTCTTTCACGAAAAAACTACTGGACGGATTTGGATAAAACTTTACAGCAATATAGGTTATACATCAGAATAACACATAGGGTACTTTTTACTGGGAAAACTTCTCACTCCCACGGGATACCGACTTCCACGCGGACGAAGTCGCGGGCGTCCACTAGTAGACAATGAAATGAATGTACTTTATATTTAACATTCATCTTTATTATTCATCATCAAATTAAAAACTGTAGTATTATATTACAGTTTCTAACTCTATAGTTAATTTTATCACATACTTTATATGATAAAGTACTATTTAGAATTTTTGAACTTATAATAAACTTTCTTTAGCTACAGATATTTTTTGTATGGCTAATACTAAATAAAGCAAAGAAAGAAGAAACTTTTTCCCAACCTTATTGGTATTACATATGAATTTTAAGTAAGATAATTAAATAAATAAATAAAATATCAACCTACTAGTATTTAAGATATCTCATAAGCATTAACATGACACCTACTATTGTACGATAGGCCGACTATTGTACGTTAGCAAAAATTCAAAAAATTTCGATGTTACGATTTTGTTAAAATCATATTGGGCCTTCAGTTGTCATGTGAATTCATAGAAGTACGAGGGTCAAACTGAAAGTTCTTAGAACTGGCCACTTATAAACAATATAATAAAAAAATAATTCTAAAATTTGAAAATATAACTCTTTGCCAATATTACTGAGTATATATTTCATTCATTTGTCATTTGTTTTACGATTTGGCGGCAAATTGAAAATTGTCTGTGTCACGTCATCATGAATTTAACACGAGAAAATTTTCGTGCAATGATTTTTTATGACTTTCGATGTCATTTAAGTCAACAAGAAAGTTATGATAGACTACGATTGGCCTTTCACGATGAAGCCCCATCTCGTGCGACTGTTTACAACTGGTTTAATGAGTTTAAACGTGGTCGCACTAATCTCACTGATGATTTACGTGAGGGACGGCCTTCTACGGCGATGACTGAAGATAACATCTGTGTTGTGCGGCGTATGATAGAGACTGACAAAAGAGTGACCTATCAACAGATTCGGACAAGCTTAGGCATCGGTATGAGTCAAGTGCACAAAATCCTCCACGAACATTTAGCGGTCAGGAAGCTTTGCGCCCGGTGGATACCTCATAATTTGACTGAGGCTCAAAAACTCCATTGTGTGGATTGGTGTCGTAAAATGATTGAAAGATTTAACGGAGGTGACTCAAATGCTGTGTTCGACATACTAACAGGTGACGAAAGCTGGATTTACTGTTATGATCCTAAAACCAAAAGACAATCTGCTCAGTGGGTGTTTCCTTTCGAGGAGTTGCCAACTAAAGTGAAGAGAGATCGAAGTGCGGGAAAAAAAATGGTGGCCTCGTTCTTTGGAAGGATAGGTCATTTTGCAACAATTGTGTTAGAGGATCAAAAAACAGTTTCTGCAGAATGGTACACTACCAATTGTTTGCCACTTGTCTTGGAAAAAGTTCGAGAGAAACGACCTCGCATTAGGATCCTCCTTCACCACGACAACGCCTCGTCGCACACCGCCAAGCGAACGATCGACTATTTGGCGACATCAAACGTTGAATTACTGGGTCACCCGCCGTATAGCCCCGACCTCGCGCCTTGTGATTTTTATTTATTTCCAAAAATTAAAGAAAAACTTAAAGGAAAGCGGTTTATGAATGCTGAAGAAGCGGTGGCTGCGTATCGCGATGCCATTGAAGAGACCCCTAAGGACGAGTGGGCAAAGTGCTTTTCCCAGTGGTTCCATCGCATGCAGCGGTGTATTGACGTGAATGGACAATATTTTGAAAAGATATAATAAAACTAATAACTGGCTAATGTAATCAGTTTTTGATTTTCTAAGAACTTTCAGTTTGACCCTCGTAGTATAGTTGATAGCAATAGAATGAAAAGGTAAGATAATCTTACACCCAACGACAATATTTTACAACGAACTTTGATGTTTTCTATTTAAATTACGTCAAATAACATAAATTTAAGAGATAATTTTGTAAAATCCATTTGAAATTATTGTACTTTAGTCAATAATCACAGCTCTTAATATTTTGCAACTCATACATAATTTTTAATATCGATATTCTTTTAATCGAGTTATTATCAATATAGGTTATCTCTGTTATCCCCGGTAAATACAAACCAAGCGTAATAATGCCTATTCCAGGATTACAATTAACTACTTTCCGCTCGCTGTGTATCCATTTCCCTTGTGGACATTAAGCTTATCGGCTCCTTCTATTTATGACCGAGAACGAAGCGCACCAGCTTCATTTTAGTAATAGGCAATTTTAAAGACTGGACACACCGAAGCAATTATTGGAAAACTAATATACAGTAATTTCATCGATGTACTATGCTAGAAACTCGTTACTTTCTAAAATAACAGCATCAATCTCTAATAACGTTTTAATCTATCGAGAAATTTATTGGTCTTCTGACGTGTCGTTATTGAGGGCTCGCAATAAGCTTATTATGGCACGTTAAAATATTGCCGGTGAATTTTCCGAGGCATCGACGTCAATCTGTGGGTAACATGTTAATCTTTTTAAGCGTGATTGAGGGGGCGTGGCGTGTCGCGCTCAAGATAACACTCCTGCTACCTATGCGGCGCTTGAGCCACTCTGTGATTGATCGGATGCCCACTCAACCACGCTAAGTAAACGTAAAATGCTATTACCGTTTGAACTATGTATATGATATTCACTGCATTGCCAGTGTGGCATTAAGGAACGTATTACCGATAACTGACAACACGATGTTAATAATAAATTACAATGAGTAATGCTGTTTAGAAAAATGTAAAAGGTGCTTCAAAATATTGTGGGTTATGCTGTGATGAGGTTCTGGTTGATTTCTTGATTGGAGTCGTTTGTAAAGGGTTTCTTTATTTATTTGATACATCCACGGTTGCTACAATAAAGAAATTAAAAAAAGAACACAATATCACATACATTGCTCAGATTTCAAGAGGATTAGATAAAGCCCCCTTATTATGAAGTATCCGAGACAACGAAGGTATGGAACCCGGGACCTCAGAGACGGCAACACATTGAAACTGGGGTAAACAATAAAAAGAACAATAGTAAACAAACCAATTGTCTTTCACAAACCTAACGCGTGTAACGTAAACGTAGAGATAGCTTGCTAAGCGTTAATTTACGGTGTCACAATCCAATGGAAAATATTATAAGTACTAAAAAAATACAGTAGATT